CCTTCAATCTCAGTGGTATTGATCCCAATGCTCCCACTACCACTGGAATAACCTTTGTCCTCACACCCCACATTTTTCGAACTTCTCTTGCTAGATCTTATTATTATGATGATGATTATTATTATTATTATTATTATTACTACTATTATTATTATTATTATTATTATTATTTGACTGATTTGAGACGTGAAAAATTTAGCTGAGAAATGGGCAGAAACTTAAAACCATAGCAGAGAAATCAGAGCGGCTATGCGTCATTGAGCACAGATCAAAGTGGCTATCAGCCACTGAAAATGGATCGTCTGTAAGCAGTGACAATTTTGATGCCACTGACTTGAGGTTATAATCCGTAGATTTAAAGTGAAAGTCCACTTACATTGTTAAGAAAGAGTGCAAAACGAACCGGTTACAGAATACACGCGGAGACGTGACACCGTTGAAAACATTTATGAAGTTATCGGTGATCTTCGTCCGAGACAATTATAAGGAAAGTACTGCTTCTTGTCCGATCACCAAAGCAAGTAATAATTCTCATTTTCATTCCTAGTTTTTGTCGTTCTTTATTTTTCCAGCCAATATCAGTGATTTTATTTCTTTCTTTGTCTTTGTTACATCTGGAGAGATCCTAAAAATAAAAAATAATGTGTCCATCATAGACTCGTAATTTTAATACCACAAGGACAGCACTGCGTCTCGTCCGCTGAACAAAGTTAAGCCCTGTTCGCCGGGGTTCGTACTTGGCTGGGTGACCAAATACGAATACCCTCTGCTGTAATAACTTCTTTTTTCCTTTCATATTTTTCCTTTTCTCGTTTTTTTTCCTTTGCAAGGCGATATCAGTGAGTGCAGAAATCCCGGACTTGTGTAGTGTCTTTTCTTCTATTTACCAACTATTTGTTCGTATCATTTCGCCATGTCCGTATTTATGTGTATTTATTTTAATACCGTATAAACAATAGCGAAACACGTCGCTCGAATTCTCCTCAATTCTCATGTCTGTCGATTGTCTAAAACTTTAAATCACGGCTTGAATCATTGGAAAATTCATACAGCTCATCAATTTTGTGATTTTTAGTATCTTCTTTTTCGGCAATCGGGTGAGGTTGAACCTGTATAAGCGGACACCTTTGAGAAATGAGCTATTTATGATAATTAGCTTTTCTATATGAAAACGTTCGTGCGAAAATCTATTCAATGTAGATCATTTCTGTGGTAAGATGTTGAGAACTTGCGTCGGAAATTCAAAGAATAACTAACTTGATACGGTACAAGCGGATGTAAAACGGCTTTAGAGGGCGTGATGTTGGAAACCCGCTGATTTCCGCTGATCTCTCGAGTACACGAGTCGGGTCTGCAAGTGCGCACGGGATCCTTTCTTGAACAGTGGCTAGTAATCGAAACTATTCCGTTTTAAGTGGAATCTTTTAAGGGTCTAATGAAGCTCGAGCAGCACCCATATTAGTCTCCTTTAGGAGTTAAATTTAAATTTTCCTACTAGCATTCCTGCAGACGTTTTGATATGGGAGTTCCCCTCCGGGGTTCCAAATGTCTGATAGGAAGTGACGGAATGAAGGAGTGATGGAGTGAAATCGTTCCCCCGATACAATTTGGAAAATAATATTTTCCAAGTTAAAAATGAATTATAAGAGTGTTCAGACCGTACCACTGAACTGCGTTTGGTTTAATCCACTTTTCCTTCCTCGTATTAAGAAACCATTGACCCAAACGCAGCGTATGCCTTTCCGTTTCCTTTCTCTAAACAATCATGTGGATCATTCGAAAATTTGTCGACTATTTCTAAACTTATCTAAGCCACACAAAGCAACTTTGTCCCGTCCTAATTATCACTAGCATAACGTACGTTTGCGAAGCAAGAGCCATGAAGACTTAGCCACGGAATGATGTGAGACAATATTTGATTTGTAAGATGTGTCGCGGTGTCATTAGTTGATTTAACTTGTCAGACCTATTTTTCAGCTTGTCAGACCTGTTTTTCAGCCTCCATTAAACTGGTTGACCAGTAGGAACTTTGAGTTTAAAAATAAACACACACCCGCTCTTCAGTTCTCTGTTGATCATCTTAACGATCCACACAAAAGCAAATCACTTGGTGACCAAATCGTCTTCAGCGCGCAAGCGACTGCGATAATCTTATGCACTAGTCAGCGGATTCACTTAAGGTTTACAGCAAGGGGCCGAGGAAGGAGCGACTCTTAATTAAAAAATTAAGTCATTTTCTGAGTAAAAATGAGGAGAGATTCCAGTATCCCACTCAGACCTTCTCATTGGCGGTTTCAAGCCTCGGCCGAGGTCACTATGTTGTGTTACTCTCATAACTGGAGAGTAGCCAGTTATGAACCAGCATCCCATCCAGGGGGAGGGGGAATAGCAATACTCCTACTTACTGACTGACTGACTGACTGACTGATTCTCTGACTGATTGACTGATTCACTGACTGACTGACTGACTGACTGATATACCTATTGATTAATTGATTGATTGATTGATTGATTGACTGATTGACTGACTAACTGACTGACTGATTAATTGACTGATTGGCTGACTGACTGACTGACTGACTGACTGACTGACTTGTTGACGGATGGATGGATGGATGGAATCTTTCATTTAAATACGGAGCTTTATCAAATTAAAACGTGCAAGTCAAAATTAGGTTTCCATAAAATCCGTGCAATTCCTAATTACATGTACCACCAGTTAATAACATCAAAGTAGACTGAAATATAAGGAAACTTACTGAAGCAATTACAACGGGGTGAAGCTAACTATTTAGTTGTCTAACTGATGCCGGTAGTAAACCTCTTTTAACTCACTTTTAAACTTGTTCAAACATATTTCCTCTTTGAAATGGCGACGGAGAGCATTCCAGACCTTAGCACCACTAAATGCGAAGTTATCCTTGTAATAATTGGTGCTATATTTAGGCAGTTCAAGGTCGGAATTGGAAGATCTCAAACGTAATTATTTAGGGTGCTATGAAGAGTTAACATATGGGTAAAGGTATGGAGGTGCCAGGCCGTTAACAATTTTAAACATCATAATAGCCTTGTGAAATTGCCTCATGGAATTAAATTGGGTCCAGCCTAATTCTAAAAACATTTCCCTAGAGGGTTTAGAATACGGAGCACCGGTGATAATACGAGCCGCTCTGTTTGGAAGCCTTTGGAGACTGTTGCTTAAAGTGTCACCTATTGAATCCCTCAATATACAACAGTCACTAAAATAAGGTTCAATAATTGACCTAGATATAAAACAACAATATTCTTACCTTTTAGAAAAGGTTTAACCTTTTTCAGAATTTTTAAATTGGAGGTCCCTTTATGCCTTATGCTTTGCAAGTTGCCATCCCACGTCAGGTTCTCATCAATACTAACACCTAAGCATTTAGTGGACTCCAGTTGCTTTACATGAGTGATTGGCTGATTGACTGATTGACTGACTGATTAACTGGCTGACTGACTGACTGATTGGCTGACTGACCGACTGACTGACTGACTGACTGCATGACTGACTTCATGACTGATTGACTGATTGACTGACTGACAGACGGACTGATTAACTGACTGACTGTCTGACTGGGTGACTGATTGACTGATGAATTGATTCACTGACCTACTGACTAACTGACTGACTGACAGATTGACTGGTGGACTGATTGACCGATTGACGGATACACAGATTGACGGATTGACTGATTGACTGACTGTCTGACTGATTGACTGACCCATCGATTGAATGATTGATTGATTGATCGATTGCTTGATTGGTTGATTGACTGATTGATTCATTGATTCATTGATTGATCGGTTCATTGATTGATTGATTGATTGATTGATTGATTGATTGATTGATGGACTGATTTGTCTCATTCTCTTCCAGGGATTTCTTTTTAAAGAGAGTTTACAGAGTTACGCAAAAATCAGATCCAGTTTACGGTGATCGTTTCTTAGTCGACGTGGAACTTGGTTTACAGCATAGCAACCAATCATTTCGCTTGTCAGAACACGTCTATCAGAAGAAGGGAAGTGACAAGTTGTGTTTTCCTGAAGGAATCAACTGGAACAGCCAAGCCATGGTGTACTTCATACTTCCTGTCAAAGACCAAGGACGATGGGTCTATCATTTTATCAATGAACTTACTGTTGCCAGCTTATTGACCGGTGATACGAACTTCCACGTCGTTGTTGC